GTTACTTCACACTGATTCCAAAAATATATGGTTCTAGTCAAAAGGCCCTAGGTCTCTACTATATATAATTAATGAGTTATGTAACCATACAGCTAATTTTAGATATAAGAGGGGAGAAAACTCCCATTAAATGTACCCTTTCAGCCAAAATTTATGTCGCAACTAACAATTTAATAAAAATATTTTGTCGATATCTTATACGCTTTCTGAGAAGCTATAATAAACCAAAATCAAAAGTCAGAACATTACCTTGACCTTTGCCCTCATTTTCTTTTTGGTGGACCCTGGACCTCAAATCAAAAGACCCTAGGTCTCTATTGATGTTTGTTTCATGTGAGTCATGACAGTCTTAGTTTTAGCAGCTTTTCTGAATTCCTTTCTATATACTGTATTTTAAAAAACATGGATAGTACTAATAGCTGTTTCCTAACATGATAAATCATAGAACTCATGATTGAGCATATAATTCAATGATTTAAGATAAAATATGGTAATCAAGTGTCGCATTTTTAACATGTCTTTATGGGAATAATTTTCCTTTATGACCTGGAGATGCAAACTCAGGCAACCCACACCAACCTCTCCACCTACCATATATACCATGATGCATGTCAATTAATAGAATGTCTTAGTGACCCATTTTTTGTATTCTCCTTGTAATTGGTAGAAACGTTTTTACAGACTTAATATAATATTAGATAACAAATAAGACTACAAAATTTTAAGACTGATACAAAACCCATATGATTATAATGAATAATAAACTTGATAGCAAAGATGCACAGAGAATTAAGAACAAAAAATTTATAAAAAGATGCTGAGCAGGCATTTCAAAAGAAGGGAAAGCAAAATTTCTCAGAAAGAAAGTGTTTATCACTGCATATATAACTGTTAGAGGATGCTGTTCAAATTGATGAAAAGCTGCAACCCTATCTAGTCACTGTGAAGTGCTACAATGTTTATATATAAGCAGCACATAATCAGTAACAAGAAAGGCTGTTAACTTTTAAATTTTCAGACAGCAGTAATTTTAGAAGTTAAAATGTTATCAAATTTCTGAAGAAAATAGAAACTACACGAGAGAAAAGAGAAAACTGAACTTCCATTAGACCAGTACATCAAGTCCTTACAAAGAAATTAACATTCTCTCACTCTTTCTATCCTTCTCAAACTTACTTCTTTACATACCACTCTCAATATTTCTCATCCTCTCAATTAATTTTTGTCCCTTTAGAACATACATCTTTACATTCCACTCATTATTTACCCTCTCCCTCTCAATTCTTAATTTTACCTCTCTCCATTTCTGCCGAATCCATACCAACCGTAGCCACCTATATTAGCCTACTCTTTGTGTTAGATACCCTATGTAAAGTTTGTTAGTTGATGAAAAGATTTTTAATCATGGAAGTACCGGGCATGGAAGAATAAAATTTTCAACATGGAAAAGATCAAAACTTTTTGACATGAAATATGGATTTTTTTTTAAAGTATTGAGCCAATTTTGAATTGTAGTTTTTATTTTCAATATAAAATGATTATCACATCATTTCTTGAAATCTAAGGTAACAGCCAAAGTGAGATGTAAATTTAAAAAAAAGAAATTATCTATGGATAACCATTATGCAGCCAAAATTTGTATTTAACTAAAGGGTGTTAAAATATTTAAAAACAATTAAAAAATAGATTTTACAATAGAAAAAGGTAAAAATACAAAAGTAAAAATTGCCAAAAGTTTTAAAAATGCCAAATGGTACAAAAGTACCTGTCTGCTTGTACTAGCCAGCTGGCCTGTGGGTTATCTGGACTTTAAGGTTCTAGTTCACCAAGACAAATGCCCGCAGTAAGACTCTTGCCTCTTCCTTTCGGAGTACCAGTTTTAAAGTCTCTGATTTGACATTGACATGCCTTATACAGCCAAGTTTTTTTTTAAATAAAAAAGGGTATTTAAAATGTTGATAAAAAAAAGTAAAATATCCTGTTTAAAATTTTGATAAAATAATAAAATCTCCCCCATTAAAATTTTGTTAAAAAATGCAAAATATAAAACTAGTAAAACATCCTGAATTAAAATTTTGATAAAAACAGTTAAAACATCCCCAATTTAAATTTTGATTAAAGCAGAAAAACATCCCCTGTTAAAATTTGATAAAAACAGTTAAAACATCCCCCATTAAAATTTGATAAAAACAGTAAATCATCCCCAGTTAAAATTTGATAAAAACAATAAAACTTGATAAAAACAGTAAAACATCCCGTGTTAAAATTTGATAAAAACAGTAAAACATCCCCCGTTAAAATTTGATAAAAACAGTTAAAATATCCCCCATTAAAATTTGATAAAAACAGTAAAACATCCCCAGTTAAAACTTGATAAAAACAGTAAAAACATCCCCCATTAAAATTTGATAAAAACAGTAAAAGCATCCCGTTAAAATTTGATAAAAACAGTAAAAACATCCTGTTAAAATTTGATAAAAACAGTTAAAACATCCCCCATTAAAATTTCATAAAAACAGTAAAACATCCCGAGTTAAAACTTGATAAAAACAGTAAAACATCCCCCGTTAAAATTTGATAAAAACAGTTAAAATATCCCCCATTAAAATTTCATAAAAACAGTAAAACATCCCCAGTTAAAACTTGATAAAAACAGTAAAAACATCCCCCATTAAAATTTGATAAAAACAGTAAAAGCATCCCGTTAAAATTTGATAAAAACAGTAAAAACATCCTGTTAAAATTTGATAAAAACAGTTAAAACATCCCCCATTAAAATTTCATAAAAACAGTAAAACATCCCGAGTTAAAACTTGATAAAAACAGTAAAACATCCCCCGTTAAAATTTGATAAAAACAGTAAAACATCCCCCATTAAAATTTGATAAAAAAAGTAAAAACATCCCCCGTTAAAATTTGATAAAAACAGTTAAAACATCCCCCATTAAAATTTGATAAAAACAGTAAAACATCCCAAGTTAAAACTTGATAAAAACAGTAAAACATCCCCCGTTAAAATTTGATAAAAACAGTAAAAAACATCCCCCATTAAAATTTGATAAAAAAAAAGTAAAAACATCCCCCGTTAAAATTTGATAAAAACAGTAAAACATCCCCCGTTAAAATTTGATAAAAAAGTTAAAACATCCCTAATTAAAATTTTATAAAAACAGTAAAACATCCCCTGATAAAATTTGATAAAAACAGTAAAAACATTCCCCTTTAAAATCTGATAAAAACAGTTAATGTCCCATTAAAATTTGATAAAAACAGTAAGAACACCCCCCTTTAAAATTTGACAAAAACAGAAAAATATTTGATAAAAACAATAAAACATTCCCAGTTAAAATTTGATAAAAACAGTAAAACATCCCGTGGTAAAATTTGATAAAAACAGAAAAAAAATTGATAAAAACAATAAAACATCCCCCATTAAAATTTGATAAAAACAGTATAAACAACCCCCCTTAAAATTTGATAAAAACAGTAAAACATCCCCAATTAAAATTTGATAAAAACAGTTAAAACATCCCCCATTAAAATTTGATAAAAACAGTAAAACATCCCCCGTTAAAATTTGATAAAATCAGTAAAAACATCCCCCATTAAAATTTGATAAAAACAGTAAAACATACCCCGTTAAAATTTGATAAAAACAGTAAAACAACCCATGTTAAAATATGATAAAAACAGTTAAAACATCCCCCGTTAAAACTTGATGAAAACAGTAAAACATACCCCGTTAAAATTTGATAAAAACAGTAAAACATCCCCCGTTAAAATTTGATAAAAACAGTAAAAACATCCCCCATTAAAATTTGATAAAAACAGTAAAAAAATCCCCCATTAAAATTTGATAAAAACAGTAAAACATCCCTGTTAAAATTTGATAGAAACAGTAAAACTCCCCCCGGTTAAAATTTGATAAAAACAGTAAAACATCCCAAGTTAAAATTTGATAAAAACAAATAAAATGCCCTTACCTATTAAAAGCATGTTACAGAGCTTCACATGCTGACTGAGCCACCGCACTCTCAGTCTGTACCAGGAATAGCAGATACTTGGTACGGTAGATAAAATATCCCCAAAAGTTTTTTGACTGAGCCGCCTCTCTCTCAGCCAGACCGAGCCGCCTCACTCTCAGCCAAACTGAGCCACCTCACTCCCAGTTTGTACCAGTCTACGTGGATACTTGGTACGTATGGTAGGGGACGTTACTATACCCAGAGCAGAGGTATAGCATCTGTGAACCCTAAACACAGAGAGCGGCTTAACTTCCCATACGTGTATACAAGTATCCAATGCTTACTGGTAACGTTATTGTGTTTTTCATGTCAGTCGCTGAACAAATTCTATAAAATGTAGATAATGAAGAACCTACTGCAATAATAACATAAAAACCTTGATTCTAAGTTTCCTGTGGTAAGAAGTGAAATATTCTTTTCTATAAAAGTTCTATAAAAGATTTACTAAGTATCCTAGGTTTGATTTTCTTGAGGGTTTTCATAAGGATTGAAGAAGATGTGGCCTTTGGATAAACACAGTGTGACAGTAACTCAACAATGGAGAAAAACCAGAAAGATATGAAAATGTCAAAATACAGGCTTTAACAATAAAACGATTATAACTAATAGTACCTAATGGTATTTGAATGTTAAATGGTGATCTTTCTTTTGTATTGAAACCCATGATAAGCTATAATTTATTCAATATCTTTGATCTCTGACCTTTAGGGATAGTTGTCTCATTGGCAATCCTACCACATCTTATTTTTATATGGCTGAGAGTTAACTGTAGTTTTCTGTGTTAACCCATTGAGTTACACTTTCAGGCTAACAAATAGACTTGCAAAAGGCACCTTGTATGGAATTTCTCGAAGCACATCTATAAACAATTAGTACCGGTATATGAGAATTAATTCTGTAATAAGTGTCATGAAAAAAAGAAGAAATTTGTCTATCTTTTATGTTGTTTTTTTAAAAATTCAAGGTAGAAAACATATTTTTATAATTCATTTAATGAGCAAACACTCTTCATTTCATACACAGAACTGTCTCCAAATGCATGCAAATTATTGTCACATCCAAGTATTTGCCTTGTGAGTCTTCATATGAAAAATGCCACATTTAAGTCATACAAATGCTAGTCAGATAACATCCACATAGTCTTTGAAATAACAATTAAATATTGGTTATTGTTTCATGACTTAAAACTTCACTTCTAATACAATATATTTTATTTAAAGATGAAGTCTTGGCCACTGTGATTCCTCTTCAAACAAAATACCTTGTTATGATCTTTTCTCAACATACTGAAAAGTAAAAACAACATTTATAATCCTAAAGTATGCTGTTTGTTTGAGTTTAATCAGCCTTTAATGAAACATTTGTCTGTTTATGTAGTTCATACGTGTTTCTCGTTTCTCGTTTTTATATAGATTAGACCGTTAATTTTCCCGTTTGAATGGTTTAATACTAGTAATTTTTGGGGCCCTTTATAGCTTGCTGTTCGGTGTGAGCCAATGCTCCGTGTTGAAGGCCGTACCTTGACCTATAATGGTTTACTTTTATAAATTGTTACTTGGATGGAGAGTTGTCTCATTGGCACTCATACCACATCTTCCTATATCTATATGATGAGTTTAAGTTTGAAAAATTTTGAATTGGTAAATGAACATGACCTACAGTTGTTAACTTCTATGTCATTTGATCTCTGGTGGAGTTGTCTCATTGGCAGTTATACCACATCTTCTTATTTTTATATGAAACTTTATTAAATGTCAACTGAATATTAAATAATTGAAAATACAAATATTAAACATGTATGCACATAGAAACTAAATTGTTATCCCTATGTCTCGCATTCTGCAACTTTTGTCGCAGGTGAGACAAAAATTACACAATGCAATAGGTATCTGATGCCATAAATGGTAATGAGAAAGAGGAACGGTTGATTTCCCTTTACCTGTGTATGGCAAGGCGTTTTTTACATTATTCAATTTCAAGATATCTTATGAAGATAAATATATATATCTTGTATTCTTCATGAGATATCTTATTTGATTTGAAGTTTATAAAATATCTTATACCCATTATAAGATATTTTATTAACTTTAAAAGATAGTTGTTTAAACATAATTAGATATCATATAAAGTTAATAAGATACTTTATATCTTTTTAAAGATTTTTTTTAAAACAAATACTTTGAGATATCTTATATATTTTATGAGATATTTTGTACATTTCATAAGATATCTTTAAAAGTATATATAAGATATATTTTTTACTGTATAATATTTCTTATTAAATGTACAAATTATCTTTTTTGTTTATAAGATTACTAGTTTATTAGATATCTTATTTAATATATAAGATATCTTTAATATATTAAGATATCTCATCAAGTATTAAAGATATCTTTAACTTCAAACTAAATAAGATATCAAATAAAGAATACTATGTACCTATATTTACTTACAAGATATATTATTCAATTTATAAGATATTGTTTTTAGTTTACAAGATATCTTATTTAGCTTAAATAAGATATATTTTATTTAGCTTGTACGATATCTTTAAAACAAAAGAATATATAAGATATCAGTTAAGAAAAAACAAAATATCTTTTTTCCTCAATAAGATATCTTAAAACCTAAAACAGATATTTAATACACTATTGTTTTAATTATTGATTGGTGTTTAATGCCGCTTTCAGCACTATTGTGCTATTTCTTAGCGATCAGTTTTTATTGGTGGAGGAAGCCTTAGTCCCTGGAAAGAACCATGACCTTTGGTAGGATTACTGACAATCCTAGTCAATTAAGATTGGAGTCAAGCGCACCTCAGCAGCTACATGAGAGGTTTGAACTCACAACCACCATGTTGTCAGGCTAGTGATACAGTAGTTTGACTACTTAGACAACTCGGCCACTGAGGACCCCTTAATAAACTAAATAAAATATCTTTATAGAATGTTAAATAAGATATCTCATTTAATAAAAAATATATTCTATTCAATTTATAAGATATCCCAATTAGTTTATAAGACATATTCTCTAGTTTATAAGATATCTTTTAAAATTGATAAGAAATCTTGAAATTGGAATAAATATACACAAGAGTGCACACCCTGAAATGTCTCCCCTACTATACTGACCATTGATTTCATGTTGATAGTCCTACATATAAAGTTTTACTACAAGTATCACATTAACATTTATGATCCAAGAAAATGAGGTCAAGTTCAGATAACTCAAGCCGGAAATACATGTACACCTTTAATACAATCATTCCATACACAGAATATAGATAACCTATTGCTTATAGTATAAAAGAAACAGACCAAACCATGGAAATTCTATATTGACCAATGAACCATGAAAATGAAATCAAGGTCAGATGAACCCTGCCAGGCAGACACGTACACCTTAAAATCATTCCATGCATCAAATAAAGTTGACCTATTGCTTATAGTATCTAAGAAACAAAGTTAACCAGGAAAACTTAACATTGACCAATGAACCATGAAAATGAGGTGAAGGTCAGATGATACCTGCCAGACAGACATACATACAAATGTATACACCTTACAATCATTCTTACACCAAATATAGTTGACCTATTGCTTAAAGTTTAAGAAAAACAGACCAAAACACAAAAACTTAACATAAGCAATGAACCATGAAAATGAGGTCAAGGTCAAATAAAACCTGCCAGACTGACATGTACATCGTAAAATATTTCCATACACCAAATATAGTTGACCTACTGCATAAAGTATTAGAAAAACAGACCAAAACACAAAAACTTAACATTGAGCAATGAACCGTGAAAATGAGGTCAAGGTCAAATAAAACCTGCCAGACTGACATGTACATCGTAAAATATTTCCATACACCAAATATAGCTGACCTACTGCATACAGTATTAGAAAAACAGACCAAAACACAAAAACTAAACTATTACCTCTCAACCATGAAAATGAGGTCAAGGTCAGATGACACCTGACAGTTGGACATGTACACCTAACAATCATAACATACACCAAATATAGTAGACATATTGCTTATAGTATCTGAGATATGGACTTGACCAGGAAAACTTAACCTTGTTCACTGATCCATGAAATGAGGTCGAGGTCAAGTGAAAATTGTCTGACATGTATGAGGACCTTGCAAGGTACGCACATACCAAAAATAGTTATCCTATTACTCATAATAAGAGAGAAATTAACATTACAAAAAATCTTTATTTTTTTTTCAAGTAGTCACTGAACCATGAAAATGAGGTCAAGGACAATGAATATATGACAGTCGGAAACTTCATATCATAAGGCATCTATATACAACATATGAAGCATCCAGGTCTTCTAACTTCTAAAATATTAAGCTTTTAAGAAGTTAGTTAACGCCGCCGGCGGATCACTATCCCTATGTAGAGCTTTCAGTGACAAAAATCGCAGGCTCGACAAAAACAGCTTGCCATACCTGAGGATTGAAATCTGAAAGTTTTTAAAGCATACTAGAATTGCAGCAGTATGATATCTTATATTGGTGCCAGATATACAATTACAATACTAATGAACCACTTTTGATGATTTTACATATAAAACAAAATGTCCTTCAGGACCTAATTTAATTGTTCTTAAAGACAATTTTGTAACAATATTGGAAATTTTTCAAGTTATTGTGGAATTTTTAGCTGAAGTACATCTTTAACCAAATGTATATATTTGAATCTACAAAAATCTTGTTCACAATTATGATTATTTCCAACATTAGTTTTTTGTAAGAATGTCCCTATCAAACATATTTGAGATAAATATTGGAAATTTGACAAAATAAAAATGTTTTAAGCTATCTATAAGCTTTTATAATGTGTATAAAAATAAACCAAAATTTTGTTAGAACTTAACAAGAGTGCACATACTGAAATGTCTCATCTTCTTTACTAACCATTGATTTTATGTTGATAGTCCTAAATATAAAGCTTTACTACAAGTAACACATAAACTTAACATGATCCAAGAAAATGAGGTCAAGGTCAGATAAACCAAATGAGAAATACATGTACACCTTACAATCATTCAATAAACCAAACATAGTTGACCTATTGCTTATAATTTCTAAGAAACAGTCTTAACCAAGAAAACTTAACATTGACCAATGAACCATGAAAATGAGGTCAAGGTCAGATGAACCATGCCAGACAGACATGTACACCTTACAATCAATGTATGCATTAAATATAGTTGACCTATTGCTTATAGTTTCTAAGAAACAAACTTAATCATGAAAACTTAACATTGACCAATGAACCATGAAAATGAGGTCAAGGTCAGATGATACCTGCCAGACAGACATATACACCTTACAATCCTTCCATACAACAATTATAGTTGATATATTGCTTATAGTTGAAGAAAAACAGACCAAAACACAAAAACTTAACACTGAGAAATGAACTGTGAAAATGAGGTCAAGGTCAAATAAAACCTTCGAGACTGACATGTACATCATAAAATATTTCCATACACCAAATATAGTTGACCTATTGCATATAGTATTAGAAAAAAAGGTCAGATGACACCTACCAGTTGGACATGTACACCTAATTACAATCATTCCATATACTAAATATAGTAGACCTACTGCTTATACTGCTTATAGTATCTGATATATGGACTTGACCACGAAAACTTAACCTTGTTCACTGATCCATGAAATGAGGTTGAGGTCGAATGAAAATTGTCTGACAGGCATGAGGACCTTGCAAGGTATGCACATACTAAATATAGTTATCCTATTACTCATAATAAGAAAGAAATAAACATTACAAAAAATGTTGACTTTTTTTTTCAAGTAGTCACTGAACCATGAAAATGAGGTCAAGGACAAAGGACATATGACAGACGGAAACTTCATATCATAAGGCATCTATATACAAAGTATGAAGCATCCAGGTCTTCTAGCTTCTAAAATATAAAGCTTTTAAGAAGTTAGCTAACGCCGCCGCCGCCGCCGGATCACTATCCCAGTATGTCGAGCTTTCTGCCACAAAAGTTGCAGGCTCGACAAAAACTATGCTTATGATACTTTCATTTTATAAATTTTAGTACAGTTTGGAAACAGATTATAAAGGGTGTCAGTGCAAAAGTTTAATGTTGACTGACAAAAACCTGAGTCCATTTATCAGTAAAATATAGTAAATAAATAAGAAAAGTCTAAATTTTGCTCAGGGTATTCTCTCTTGATTATCAAGAAGCTTGTGGCCATGCAATTTTAAAAAAAAAAATCCATGGAGGTTTTTGACAAAGTTATTCAAGTTTGGAAATCTTTATAATCACAGACTGCCAATATTTGTTTTTTAGTAAAATACAAATTAAATGGAGTGGAGTCAAAATATTGACCCTAGAAACTTAAATTAGTATAATACTACCAGGTAAAACATGGAATCAATAGATATTAGTCCAAGGTAAAATATGGAAAATGAGCAAAAAAATTTATATCTTGAAGTTACTCCTGAAATTCAAAGGGCAATTGTTTAAAAAACATGTAAACCATAATGCCAAAGAAGTATAAAACCATTGTGTATATATATATATATATATATATATATATATATATATGTCTCTAACAATGCAAACAATCCAAAGCCAATGATTGAATGAATTTGAAGACTGAGATGCAGCCCGGCTAAATAATTTCCATGGAGACAAGAAATGCAAATACTAATACAACTTAGAGCTATTTTCCTAATGCTTGTAGTTTTGTGCTTTGGTTGGCTTGCTTGCTTTGTTTGTATAAATGTTTGCTCAAGCATTGTAATTAAGATTGACTGTATGACACCTGCAATCAATAGATAGGCGGGGCTTCAGCTTGTATACGTTATGCTTAAATGTTATTGGATGTTAAGTATAATGCAGAGTATAATGAATACAAGCTGATGCCCCACCTATCTATTGATTGTAGATGTCAATCTTAAATACAATTCTTGAGCAAACATTTATACAAACAAAACAAGCAAGCCAACCAAACCTTTAAACTACAAGCATTAGGAAAATAGCCTTAATACCAAATACCATCATTATAATTGGTTCCCTTTAACTGGACAAAACACAAACTAACTTATACAAGTACATTTTGTAATACAAACGTTTCAAAGTTAATGAACCATGATGAGGGAACAGGACCATATAATCTCCATAGAAATGAGATGAGCAAATGCTAATGGGATTTCATACCAATATGTTTTAACAGAAAAAGTCTGATCTGATAAAAAATTTTGAGGGAAATTACTAATGAAAAATGTTTCTATTTCTATTTAATAGTCTTCTTTGTAACAACTCTTTATATGAAGAATCTGCAGATGGTTTGTTGCAAAGCAAATTTGATTGCCATCACCAACAAATCCTATTTTACAGCCATAGTTCCTTCCCTCTCCAACAAATTTTACAAAATTTACAGAAGCTACTTAAGTTATCTTTTACATTTTATATCATCTTGAATATGTATGAAACATTTGCCACATTAAAGTAAACAAGCATTGTCAGGCCAGCTGTATAGCTGACTAAATTGGTATGGGTTGGGCTCATTGTTGAAAGCCATATATTAACATAGTTGATTAAATCTGCATTATTTGGACTCTGGTGGATAATTGTCTCCTTGGCAATTATACCACATCAGTAAACAAGCATTAAAGTCTCCTACCTGTAAACTTTGCTTAAAGTCTTCTGTGATGTATGACCTCTCCTTTATTCCAATTTCAAAATTCATAACTCCTGACTTCTCCTTATGTCATGCATTGGCTTATCTTCATTTCCTTTCTATGCATTTAACTCTGAAGATTCTTCGTTTGATTCAGTCGCTATTAAAAACTTCCTGCAAAACATAAAAACATGAATTAGGATTAACAAACAGACATAATTTTTGAAAATATTTATACGAAACTAGGTAGTTTTGGTAGTAAAATTTGTGGATTAGAATAGAATTCATGACAAAAATCTTATTGTTGATCTTGTATTGCTAATCATTTTTACTGTTTACAGTTTCTTTGTCTTTTTTAGTTTTTTTCCCAAAACACAAAAAAGGATAAAAAAAACTTGTCATATAAGGGCAATCACTCCTATAAAGAGTCTACTAATGATTTTGGCAAAATTTACTTATTTGTAGATCTTGTCTTGCTGATCATTTTTGCTATTTAAAGTGTCTATAGACCTTTACTGTGACTTGACTGTTAGTGTTGCTCTCCACCTATTGCAATTTATTCAAAATTCTGACCAAATTGCAATTTGTTTTATAAAACCACTGTTCAAATGGTCAGAAATTTGAATAAACTGTTGTAGAAATTTAAACCACTGTAAAGTCGTGAAAGTGCAAGGTGATAATATAAAGCTTACTTACAATCCTATAAGACTAATTCCACTTCAATGATATTATGAAAAATAATAAGTTTCCATGGGAGATAACCTAAAATCATTATGCTTTTGAATATAGAAGACTTTTCGAAAGAAAAATTGATTATCTCCCATGGAAACTTCCTAACAAGGTATTTGTAATTTCACACATATTTTACTGAATATAAGATGCTTTAATTCAAATGATGTCTGATTCTTATGAATATAGAAGAAAAGAAAAATTGTATGAAAGCTTAGTTTGAACATTTTTATAGCAATTCAAAATTATTACCCATCACCTTTAGCATGACAATTACAATAAAATTTGTATACAAATAGTTTGACTGATTTTTCATAATATTATTGAAGTGGAATTAAAGTCTTATAGGATTGTAAGTATGCTTTATTTTATCACCTTGCACTTTCACAACTTTACTGTGGTTTTCTACAGCAGTTTGTTCAAATTTCTGACCTGTTGAACAGTTTGGTTTTAGAAAACAAATTGCAATTTGGTCAGAATTTTGAATAAGTTGCAATAGGTGGTGAGCAACACTTACAGTCAAGTCACAGTAATATAGTTTTCAATCAAGACAATGGGCAAATTATAAAATAATGATAAAAATCTTCATTAAAGAGCATGAGAATTCCAATAAGGAGTCGACTGACAATTTTGACTATGTTGACTTATTTGTAGATCTAGTCTGGCTAATCATTTTAGCTATTTAAAGTGGCTATCTAAGCTATAATAGTTTTCAGATAGGAGGCAGAACACTAAAAATGGGTAAAATATGTCTAAGAGCAAAAACTCCAATAAGGAGTGAACTGATGATTTTGGCAAGTAGATTTATTGGTAGATTTTGTCTTGCTGATCATTTTTGTTTAATTTTTTATCTATCTGCTATCATTTTTCAGATATTCTTCAAAAATACAAAAAAAAACAAATAGTTAAAATCTTAATTAAAGGGTACTATCTCCAATAAGGGGTCGTTAGCTGATTTCAACACTGTGACTTAATTGTAGATCTTGTATTGCTGATAATTTTTGCTTATCTTAGTTTCTATCTATTAGCGTTTTTCAGAAAATAACCAAAAATGCTAAAAAAATGATAAAAATCATCATTAAAGAGTCACAACTCCAATAAGGAGTCGTTTGGAGATTTCGACTAAGTTTGACCTATTTGTAGATATTGTCTTGCTGATCATTTTTGCAATTTAAAGTTTCTATTCATTTATAATAATTTTCAAGATAATAGGCAAAAATGAAAAAAAAAGTGGTAAAATTTATCATATCAGGGCAATAACTCCTATAAGAAGTCGTCTGACAGTTTTAATGAAACCTACCATGCATGAGGTACAAAGGTCGTATGTACACAACACTCGGGAACCTATGGTACTACATCATGTACAATATTGGAACAGTATGGTGCAATATCTGTAATTAAAACATAATAATTTTAAACTGTTGTTAACTGCAGTTTATGTAATTTACAAAAATATGTCTTTATACCTATTACTGTCAAACGGTAGATGTCTCCTTATAACACTGACAAGTCTCATATACCATACCACATAGAAACAGTAGAAGTCTCCTAATAAAACCTAACAAGTCTCATATACCGTACCACAAAGAACAGTAGATGTGTCCTTATAGACAATAACTAGTCTCATATACCATACCACATTGAACAGTAGATGTCTCATTATAGACAATAACTAGTCTCATGTATCATACCACATTTATCTATACTGAGAGTAGAAAAGGAAATGTTGAATGGAACCCTTATCCTGCCATACTGGATACTTGATATCATACGCAAAACTTTATAATAACTATTCTAATTTTATTAACAAACTAATATACTAAGACACCATTGTATACACAGTATACTAGTATCATATTCACAATCAATTCTAAATCTATTATACTGAATACATATGAAAATAATAATAAATGTATCATTTGGCTTTCTAGGGGGCTACTCATTAAAACTTACAATAATACTAATTAAAATAACCAAATCAAAAACACTACCTACTCAACACAATTTAAAATTAATTAAAAAATAAATTGCCTATATTATGCAATTTTAAGAACCTGCAGTAGAGCCCTGACAGGTGAAAAATTTATTTTAATACCTGACTGGTAGAACCCAGACAGGTATAAATTTGAAAAATGAGAATACCTGCAGTAGATCCCAACAGATACTTTTAGAACCTGAGTGGTAGAGCCCAGACAAGTATGAATTTTGAAAACTGAGAATTCCTGTGGTAGATCCCAACAGGTACTTTTAGAACCTGAGTGGTAGAGCCCAGACAAGTATGAATTTTGAAAACTGAGAATTCCTGTGGTAGATCCCAACAGGTACTTTTAGAACCTGAGTGGTAGAGCCCAGACAAGTATGAATTTTGAAAACTGAGAATTCCTGCGGTAGATCCCAACAGGTACTTTTAGAACCTGAGTGGTAGAGCCCAGACAAGTATGAATTTTGAAAACTGAGAATTCCTGCGGTAGATCCCAACAGGTACTATTAGAACCTGACTGGTAGAGCCCAGACGGGTATAAATTTGAAAAAAGAGAATTCCTGCGGTAGATCCCAACAGGTACAAAAACTAACTTAATTATCACCCTGAAATAAAACAAAGCCTTAATAATTTATAAGATGTATTAATGAATTGGGGGAAAATAATTTCCCTGAAATTAAGTAGGCCAAATTGAATGAAAAACATAAAACTAAAACAAACAAAACACATATTGTTATGAGTAGCCCCTTTTAAATAAACATATAAAAATTAATTGACATTAAAATTATGACTATTTAATTTTTCAAGGTGCAGCTGGGGAAACGGTGGGTGGGCTGAATTAATTTTCCACAAGTAAAAATATGACTGCTAACAGTGCAATGCTCAAACGACAACTGACCATCCTATCAAAATTATATACAGATGTTCTCTGATTACACCCATGCTGTCATCATGCTGTTTCCTATCTATGATCTAACACCTATCCCTTAATCTCTTAATTAAAACAAAACTGCCAAGCTGCCAAGCTGACCTTATCATTAACAAAATAAAACCAGGGAAAGTACATACCCTAGGAATTTATCAAAATATGTATAAACTCTAATTTAATTTTTTAAATTTCCATTTATACCTATTACTGTCAAACGGTAGATGTCTCCTTATAACACTGACAAGTCTCATATACCATACCACATAGAAACAGTAGAAGTCTCCTAATAAAACCTAACAAGTCTCATATACCGTACCACAAAGAACAGTAGATGTGTCCTTATAGACAATAACTAGTCTCATATACCATACCACATTGAACAGTAGATGTCTCATTATAGACAATAACTAGTCTCATGTATCATACCACATTTATCTATACTGAGAGTAGAAAAGGAAATGTTGAATGGAACCCTTATCCTGCCATACTGGATACTTGATATCATACGCAAAACTTTATAATAACTATTCTAATTTTATTAACAAACTAATATACTAAGACACCATTGTATACACAGTATACTAGTATCATATTCACAATCAATTCTAAATCTATTATACTGAATACATATGAAAATAATAATAAATGTATCATTTGGCTTTCTAGGGGGCTACTCATTAAAACTTACAATAATACTAATTAAAATAACCAAATCAAAAACACTACCTACTCAACACAATTTAAAATTAATTAAAAAATAAATTGCCTATATTATGCAATTTTAAGAACCTGCAGTAGAGCCCTGACAGGTGAAAAATTTATTTTAATACCTGACTGGTAGAACCCAGACAGGTATAAATTTGAAAAATGAGAATACCTGCAGTAGATCCCAACAGATACTTTTAGAACCTGAGTGGTAGAGCCCAGACAAGTATGAATTTTGAAAACTGAGAATTCCTGTGGTAGATCCCAACAGGTACTTTTAGAACCTGAGTGGTAGAGCCCAGACAAGTATGAATTTTGAAAACTGAGAATTCCTGTGGTAGATCCCAACAGGTACTTTTAGAACCTGAGTGGTAGAGCCCAGACAAGTATGAATTTTGAAAACTGAGAATTCCTGCGGTAGATCCCAACAGGTACTTTTAGAACCTGAGTGGTAGAGCCCAGACAAGTATGAATTTTGAAAACTGAGAATTCCTGCGGTAGATCCCAACAGGTACTATTAGAACCTGACTGGTAGAGCCCAGACGGGTATAAATTTGAAAAAAGAGAATTCCTGCGGTAGATCCCAACAGGTACAAAAACTAACTTAATTATCACCCTGAAATAAAACAAAGCCTTAATAATTTATAAGATGTATTAATGAATTGGGGGAAAATAATTTCCCTGAAATTAAGTAGGCCAAATTGAACGAGTAGCATGAGTGAAAGCCCCCAAGAAATGATACATGTACATATATATAAATTCAATATACCATTAGAAAGAAAAAGTACTTGAATATAATTTCATGTATGAAAATGAAAACAGACAAACAAAAAAAAAAGAAATAACTACAATACTAAAATAATTAACAAAATGTAGTTCTTATAACTCCTTTGATATAAGTTAGGAACGACACATTCTGCTTTATGCTTTACAAACAGTTTTTGGGTCAGTTGGAATGTAACGTATATAACAATTGGATGACCATCTACCTAATGTGTGGATAATATGGTCTTCAACCCCTGCTGCTGCTGCTGATGTTGCAGCACTTTTTCGAAAAGAATGACCACAAAATTTTCTATCATTATACCCTTATCTGAACAGCAAATCTCGAAGCAGAGATATAAATGTATCTCTAGACAAAGGAGCGTTATTATACTCGTCACTAACAAATAACTAGGAATCTGGTCTAGCTCCATAATTTTTTCCTACTTGTATATATCTTCTCATCAAATCAACTGGGTTGAAAATATCATTTTCAAAAATAGTAATGTTAATACCTTCTCGAAATGGGTCACATTTGGCGGAATTCAGATGTAATGTGAAATTTTGAAAAATTTATGTCTAAATTAATATTTTGAATTAAAAGTGTGTCCTGACTTGCAATTTACTACTATACGTAAATTCACCACATCAGAGAAATCCAAAAAAAGCTAGATTAAATGCACACTGCAACATTTAGTCAACAAATGCAGAAAAAACTCCTTGCTTAAACATACAGCACAATTGTTTCAAAATTTGAGATGTTATAGGTAATCTCTTTTGTTTGACATTACTCTGAGACTTTTTAATACCTCTTAATATACACTCTAAGCGTGCACAATTTGTCAAAGGGTCAGGATGCCCTATTCTTAAGTAATTATGCATAATTCCTGCTAAATACAATTTACTTGTAGCATGGGCTAGCTTAAGAGAATTCTGCAATAGTTTACCAAATAAATTAAACAATCTTCATCTATTATTGGTACACTAATATGATTCTGATTAGTCATAGCCATAAATGTTTTAAAACATAGAAAACCAGAATTATAAGTATGCCTATAGCTAGAAACCTGTGGTAGAACCCACAGGTGAAACAACAATAACCTGTGGTAGAACCCAGATAGGTTAAAAATACTTGAATACTGTACGTAGTAAAACCCTGATAAGTGAGACATATAACAACATGTGGTAGAACCCAAATAGGTTAAAATGCAATAACATTTGGTAGAACCAAGAGAGGTAAAAATTCTTGAGACTGCATAAATAGAGCAGGTCTGCCAGCCTTGCTATGTACAATGTACGTAATGTGGTACAATGTTTACTGGATTGATTGATTGATTGTTGGTTGCTTAACGTCCCAATATTCACTGGATATATGAATGTTGAATCCTGCACAGCTGAATCTGCCAGATACCATAACCTTGAGTTCACTTGTACTGACAAGTCGTCTAGCACTCCTCAGGCGGATTATAGTTACAATTTCACCTACTAACATTCCTTGAGAACCATAAACAGCATTCCAGCTGGGACTATTATACCATAATAGTCCCAATTACTGCTGAAATATAAAACTTAAAGCAGTATCATGTCTTAAACATTTGGTCCAACCTAAACAGGTGGAAATAATATATGAACCTGTGATAAATCCAGACAGGAAATTCTGGAAATGTGGTATAACCCTGACAGTTGAAAACATGCAATATCCAGAACCCAGACAGGTAAAAAAAATCTTGAAACCTATGGAAGCTAGAACCCTGGTGAGCATTAAAAAACATAAATGTGTAAGACACCTGTGGTTGATCAAAGACAGGTGTTTTTGATGAGAATTGCTCAGGTAGATTTTTACAAATACTTGGGCTAGACGGTAAGGCACTCAACCCTGGATGATTGATTATTGTTTGCTTAACTCCAGTTGCAATTCTGCATGAAAGCCTGATATTAATCCACCATTCAACTACTTAAAAATCCATAGTACGGATGGTCAATCAAATATTCTGATAATTTAAACTGTTAATATTTTAAAGTGGAAACTGAAAAGTCAAAACTGACATGGGGATCTAAAATGTCTTTAAGTTGCCAGATCTGATACTCTGGGGCCCATATAGTTCTCGTTTTTTTGTTGTTGTTGTCAGTATATACATATGTTTTAGATTTCCCCTATACAAATCGAACAAACATGACTATTGCAGCATCTCATAGTTGCGCATCCTCTGATACCTCTGAAAATATTACGAATTTCCCAACCTAAAAAAAAATATTCTGTCTCTTACACGATTAGTTATTCCTTACTCTTGTGCTTATAAGACTGTTGCAAAACCAGGAGTGGGAAATGTGTTACCACGCAGGTTTGGATGAGTATTAGCGAAAAAATGATACACAAGAAAGTAGTGTTTATAGTAGACAACTCTGCTGCTGTGTTGTAAAAAGGCAAATGAGCTGCACATGAACAGTAGTGATATTCGTAGGAACCCATACCTGGGTAATAAGTGGTCAAATCTACGTGATCCCTCCTATAGAAATCACATTAATTCTCCATCGGGGGAAGACAAGAGCACGTTACTATATATAATAACTAAAAACTTGAATAAACTCCCCTTCTTGATGAAGACCTAGTGAGCCTGGGAATAGATTTGTTATGTATTGCCCCAATTGAAGTTTCATTTTTTTGGACCCGGCATAATAAGGGTTGAGTAAGAAGTTCGTACCTGACGTGATGTTTTCCTCAGTGGGGAGAAAGGCAGTAATTCAGCTGCATATCACCTTGTATTCCGGACACCACACACTTCCTGGTTTTTTACCAGCTGCAGTCTTTGATAGAGTATTTCTAGTGAAGGCTGCATATCCTGATCCTTCGTATGCTTACTCCAGGTTGTAGGGATTCCTCCAATTGTTGACATAGTCACATCGTAAACTTCCGGTTGAAGTGAAAGTAGAAAAATCGACTGCTTTATGTCCTGTCAAGTATTTTTATTCTTATAAGATTTTTGATGATTACTAGCTTCTGTTCGGTGATGAAACGTAACATTTCCACTGGAAGACTGCATGGTTGATGAAAGTTTGGAGGCCAAGTTGATTAAATTTCTTCTGTCCATTTAATGATGAAGTAGAATTCGAAACCACGTGGTCCTCGTGTGTACTAACTGATGCATTGTGGGATCGCGCACTACTATATATGGTGTAGCTTGAATTTATCTGCTAATAACGGAATAATGTCCAGCATTTCGGTTATATTATCATTATTAGAATTAAAGTCTTGAAAAGCAATATTCAGAGTTCTGACTAGCACCTTCTCCTATCATTTATCGGTACTATTATTCCTTAACTGACTCATATTTTCTGGGTCACATCAGGAACATATATACTGTTAGATATACTGTTCCCAGGTCACATTGCACTTGCACGGTTTACCTGATTATTACCGTCCCATACCGAATGAGAGGTCCAATAGCTAATGAGAAGCAAACACATTAACTAACGAAGTTGATTATGAATAGAATAATTAACAGCATCTTTAGAAGCAGGTACAATAATGAATTATCAATATCCATGTTACGCAAATCAACAACAATACGAAGAAGTTTCCAAATGTCCCATGAAAACGTGTTAAAAGTCCAGTTTTGATTTACATCACAAATTAATATAGCTACTGTCATTATGACTTTCAAGAAAATGAAAAGTAAATTTCTTGAATTAATTTTCCACAAGTAAAAATATGACTGCTAACAGTGCAATGCTCAAACGACAACTGACCATCCTATCAAAATTATATACAGATGTTCTCTGATTACACCCATGCTGTCATCATGCTGTTTCCTATCTATGATCTAACACCTATCCCTTAATCTCTTAATTAAAACAAAACTGCCAAGCTGCCAAGCTGACCTTATCATTAACAAAATAAAACCAGGGAAAGTACATACCCTAGGAATTTATCAAAATATGTATAAACTCTAATTTAATTTTTTAAATTTCCATTAACATACAAACTATTATTCTTGATACCAAAAACTATTTTATCTATTGACTTTTACATTATTACTTTTGCTTCTTTTCACTAAAACTGAGATGTTCATATAATTTGGCTTAAATACTTACAAAATGATTACTTTAACAAGTTGTCGATTAGTTTATCTGATTAAACCAATATTCTATATATGTTTATGTGTTTCTGAAATCATTCATTTTGTCACCATTCATACAAAATCATCTATACAATACATTCATATCAGTATATTAGTAGGAATGTGAAATATTAATTAGAGAAAACTGACCTTATTTGATAAAATCAAAGATGTCAACCAAATATGAATAAAAATTATATCGAGGAACAGCACTGCACCATTCAGTTCAAAATATAAGCAAATTCTGACCAAACAAAAGAATTTCCCTCCAAAAAAGACATATGACTTAGTTAACCAATTATCATAAAGAAGATAGAGTTTTCATAGCACAAACTAGTAAAACCTAGAGAATAAACAAATACTCAATGGATCAAAACTGACTGAGTCATAGAAGTCTTACAATAAATATAACCACTGATGCATGACTAGAAACTACGTCTAGGTTAGTCTATGGAAAGGTATATACTATGAAATTTAGAGCGAGGGGCTTGCCCCGAGCTCTTAATTTCATAGTATATACCTTTTCATAGACTATCCAATTTAGCACATATTTACAACTCGAGTAATCTTTTAATTGGTCTATTGATAGTTTATTTTGGCTGACTACTTGTATCACAGGTGTTTGTAAAACGGAGCTCATTAACGAAGTTTTGTAAATCTACTCACTAGTATCATTGTAAAATATGTGATTTCAAAAGGCCCTTCACTCCAGAATGAAAAGATGGTAGCTGCTGGTGTAAGTATGTATACTGATATAAAGCGGTGTTTTACTATACATGTTCTTCTTACATGGTAAGATGACAAAATAAATTGACCAAAAGCAGGCAATAATTAAATTGCAGTGGAAGCTTTACATGTTTTGAAAACATTTTTTTAATTTCACAGTAAAACTAAAGCTATAATAAATTTGAAACATATAGATAGTTTGTCCCCATAGATATAGTCTAGCAGATAGGCATTAAAAAGCAACTACCAATAGATCAGAGATTATAGGTTTTGTGTTTTGTGTTTTTTTTTTATTATTTCAAAGTAAAAACTAAAAGATTTATTAGAATATGTTTATATATATATATAGGTGGCACAGTATTTCAATTCATGACATCGTCCTGAACATGCATGAAATATTTTCCACTGGACATTAAGCAACCAATAATCAATAAATCAATCAATTCATGACGAAATGAATCACCTTCCTAAAGAAAGTTTAAAAATTATCACCAAGTTGCTTTAATTTTTCTTCACAAGGTTTCATAGTACACATTTTTCTGTGTACAAAGTAATTGCATGGATGATACATCATCATAATTTTAAGATATCGTTGTACTCTAATCAAGGTATAAAGAACCATATGTATTACCCTTTATCTAAATGATAAAATTTGCAATTGTCAAAAACATTTTTTAGATCCAAAGATTTTAATAGCAGGATATTTAAAAAATCAACGTGAAAACTAATTACAAACTATTTAATTTAATTTGGAACACAGCATTTTATTTCAAAATAGCCAGTGGCATTTTTTGTTTTAAATATCTTGATTACTATACAATGAAATCTTACCCTTGTGGTCATTCATGCGTAGTTACTTAGTACACAGGAAAAGTATGTACTATGAAAATTAGAAGGCAAATATAAGCAATTTGATTGGACAAGAAGTTGTAAGTATGTGCTAAACATTAAATACTTAGAATTAATGATATTAACTCATAAATGTAAGAGAATGATAATCCCTTTCTTCATGAATAAGTACGAGCGTTAGCGAGTACTTATCATGAAGTAAGGGATTATCATTCTCTTACAAACTTAGAATATTGTAAAGTGCTCAAGGCTCAAATGATCTATTCAAGAATTAGTTTCATCATGTCAGTGCAATGTTTTATAATTGATGCATGACTTCCTTTTTCGGCATGTCATTTATGGATTAGTTTTAGTGATGTGAGGACTTTAATCATATCATTAGGGAAATATTTTTAAAAAAATGCGTTATAGATATTAGGTGACACAACAGTAGAAAGAAAAGGTAGGAATTGTATGTTCCCTGATTGTGAGTATGAATGTAAATAATGTAATATTTTAGTGAGGAATTATCCTTTTTTTATTTACAGTTTAAATCAATTAATACATTTGAGTTACAACTAAATTTTATTTCACAGCCAATAATTTGGTCCGGCTTTTTACATCTAATACTGTTTCATTATGTCAGGGAAATGTTCAAAAATAATGCCCTAAAAGTTTTTAATATGTTCAAAATTAAATTCCTGTTTTTTTTATCGGAATACATGTATTGGAAATAACTATTCTCCCCAACCGCTGATCAAGTAATCAAAGTTTTGGAAAGCTAAAGATTTAGGTTATTTTTTATCTGAAAGATTTTAAAAAAAATTTGTTTTGCATTGCTTTGGTATTGTTTAATTTTATAGTAATTTGAAGTTATTAATATTTTCATAATAACCTTCATGGTACCAATTTTACTGCACCAGTAAACTTCAACTTATTTTGAGAATTTTGTTTGTTTCACGGGTCAATCAAATATTCTGATAATTTAAACTGTTAATATTTTAAAGTGGAAACTGAAAAGTCAAAACTGACATGGGGATCTAAAATGTCTTTAAGTTGCCAGATCTGATACTCTGGGGCCCATATAGTTCTCGTTTTTTTGTTGTTGTTGTCAGTATATACATATGTTTTAGATTTCCCCTATACAAATCGAACAAACATGACTATTGCAGCATCTCATAGTTGCGCATCCTCTGATACCTCTGAAAATATTACGAATTTCCCAACCTAAAAAAAAATATTCTGTCTCTTACACGATTAGTTATTCCTTACTCTTGTGCTTATAAGACTGTTGCAAAACCAGGAGTGGGAAATGTGTTACCACGCAGGTTTGGATGAGTATTAGCGAAAAAATGATACACAAGAAAGTAGTGTTTATAGTAGACAACTCTGCTGCTGTGTTGTAAAAAGGCAAATGAGCTGCACATGAACAGTAGTGATATTCGTAGGAACCCATACCTGGGTAATAAGTGGTCAAATCTACGTGATCCCTCCTATAGAAATCACATTAATTCTCCATCGGGGGAAGACAAGAGCACGTTACTATATATAATAACTAAAAACTTGAATAAACTCCCCTTCTTGATGAAGACCTAGTGAGCCTGGGAATAGATTTGTTATGTATTGCCCCAATTGAAGTTTCATTTTTTTGGACCCGGCATAATAAGGGTTGAGTAAGAAGTTCGTACCTGACGTGATGTTTTCCTCAGTGGGGAGAAAGGCAGTAATTCAGCTGCATATCACCTTGTATTCCGGACACCACACACTTCCTGGTTTTTTACCAGCTGCAGTCTTTGATAGAGTATTTCTAGTGAAGGCTGCATATCCTGATCCTTCGTATGCTTACTCCAGGTTGTAGGGATTCCTCCAATTGTTGACATAGTCACATCGTAAACTTCCGGTTGAAGTGAAAGTAGAAAAATCGACTGCTTTATGTCCTGTCAAGTATTTTTATTCTTATAAGATTTTTGATGATTACTAGCTTCTGTTCGGTGATGAAACGTAACATTTCCACTGGAAGACTGCATGGTTGATGAAAGTTTGGAGGCCAAGTTGATTAAATTTCTTCTGTCCATTTAATGATGAAGTAGAATTCGAAACCACGTGGTCCTCGTGTGTACTAACTGATGCATTGTGGGATCGCGCACTACTATATATGGTGTAGCTTGAATTTATCTGCTAATAACGGAATAATGTCCAGCATTTCGGTTATATTATCATTATTAGAATTAAAGTCTTGAAAAGCAATATTCAGAGTTCTGACTAGCACCTTCTCCTATCATTTATCGGTACTATTATTCCTTAACTGACTCATATTTTCTGGGTCACATCAGGAACATATATACTGTTAGATATACTGTTCCCAGGTCACATTGCACTTGCACGGTTTACCTGATTATTACCGTCCCATACCGAATGAGAGGTCCAATAGCTAATGAGAAGCAAACACATTAACTAACGAAGTTGATTATGAATAGAATAATTAACAGCATCTTTAGAAGCAGGTACAATAATGAATTATCAATATCCATGTTACGCAAATCAACAACAATACGAAGAAGTTTCCAAATGTCCCATGAAAACGTGTTAAAAGTCCAGTTTTGATTTACATCACAAATTAATATAGCTACTGTCATTATGACTTTCAAGAAAATGAAAAGTAAATTTCTTGAATTAATTTTCCACAAGTAAAAATATGACTGCTAACAGTGCAATGCTCAAACGACAACTGACCATCCTATCAAAATTATATACAGATGTTCTCTGATTACACCCATGCTGTCATCATGCTGTTTCCTATCTATGATCTAACACCTATCCCTTAATCTCTTAATTAAAACAAAACTGCCAAGCTGCCAAGCTGACCTTATCATTAACAAAATAAAACCAGG